GGGACTTTGCAGCTTGAATACTGAATCTCATGTTTTCTTTATACAATGTGGCTGTGTAGAACAGCTCCAAGAAATCTGTTATTATCTCCTCTGACTCTTTGAGTGGTTTGAAGGGTCCCATTCTCATTGCACCAGTCATTTAGAGATGAAGGCATGCATGCTTCCTCAAATCATTGCGAGCTGCTGTCATGATGTCAGTTTCAGTGGTATGTGGTGTTAGAACGATGGAAGAGTTTTATTCAGCATAGGATAGAGCAGGGTTCAGCAAACTACAGCCAACCACCTATTTTTGAAAGGGTAGAGCAGGGTTCAGCAAACTACAGCCAGCCACCTATTTTTGAAAGGCTCACAAGCTGTTTTTACATTTTTTATGTTTTACATTTTTTAATAGTTAAAAAAATTAGAATAAGAGTAATATTTAATAACATGAAAATCTTATGAAATTCAAATTTCGGCGTAAAAGTTTCATTGGAAGCCAAAGACACCCATTCATTTACCTTTCTTGTATGGCTGCTTTTGTTCTACAACAGTGGACTTGAGTCATTGCCGCAGAGACCCTCTGGTCCACAAAGCCAAAAAGAGTTACCATCCTGTTTGCCCTTTACAGAAAAGTTTGCTGACCCCAGTATAGTACAGGATATGATGGAAAGAAAATAATAAATCTAGAACTGTGAGGAATGTTTCCAGAAAAACAGAGGTGGTGTCAGAGTAGTCACTGATATGAAAAGAGAGCCGTGGGAACTGCATTCTGGCACCTAAAGGAATGGGTGAGGAGCATGAGCAGCAGATGAGTAAGTATGGGGAAGAGGCCCCAGAATTTAGCAATGGCTGTTCCGTAACAGGGCTCCCAGAGTTCACAGGTTAGCAATGTGTGTGAGTCCGTGTTTAATTTGCCCTGTTAAATTCTAGCTTCTAGATTTTGATCTTTCGTTCTAGACTACTGATATAATTTTGAGTTCCAATTCTGTTTGCTGAATTAGCTGTCTTCCCATTCGGTCCTTAAAAATATACTTTCAGGCTATGTAATAAGTAGTTTTTTACTTACTGCACAGTACTTTATTGCTTTGAATGTCAGGTGTGGCAACAGTAAACATTTGTATGTGTGATATGTGTTTGAGGGCCGTTCTACTGAGTCATTTCTAATTTACCAGGAACATGTTTGCTGCCAATTATATGTTGAGGCTTCATTTCAGACGAATTTTTTACAAATTAAACTTTTCTCTTCTCTTAACTTCAGACATGTAGGTATGAAAATATCAAATTATTAATAATTGTTTTCTTTCTTAAAGGAATTAAGAGATCATTGGGAACCTTTTAAAACTTGATGGAGATGTTAGCCTAATAGTTACTCTCTCCAATATCTGTAGAAGTCTTTCATATTTCTGTGAACAAAAGAACTTTGATCTGAATAAGGGTGCTATTAGGTACGTTGTTTCCAAACTGAACAGCCATAGGCCTTTGCCTAAGGATTTGTCATTCCACATTTATATTACTAATGATAAAAACATGGAAGAAATGAAAATTATATTTGCAGTTAACAATCGCTGGGAAGGAAGAATTACTACTCAAAATTATGTCAGTAGTCTAGAATGCTGGCTCAAAGCCTAGAAGTTAGAATTTAACAGGGCAGGCCAGGGACGGTGGCTCACACCTATAATCCCAGTATTTTGGGAGGCCAAGGTGAGTGGATCACTTGAGGTCAGGAGTTCGAGACCAGCCTGGCCAACATGGCGAAACCCCATCTCTAGTAAAAAAAATAAAAATAAAAAAATTAGCTGGGCATGGTGGCATGCGCTTGTAATTCCAGCTATTTGGGAGGCTGAGGGATGAGAATTGCTTGAACCGGGGAGGTGGAGGTTGCAGTGAGCTGAGATCGTGCCACTGCACTCCAGCCTGGGCGATAGAATGAGACTGTGTCTCAAAAACAACAACAAAAAAGAATTTAACAGGGCAATTAAAGCCTTGCACTTAATTTTTTAGAAAGCTTTTTTTAAAAAATAGATTTATGGGTACAAGTGCATTTGTGTCACATGGATGTATTGGGTCATGGTGAAGTCTGGGCTTTTAGTGTGCTCATCACCTAAATAGTATACATTGTACCCAATAGGTAGTATTTAATTCCTCACCCCCTTCCCACTCTCTCACCTTTTGGTCTGTTTTCCACTCCGTATGCCTGTCTGTCCATTTAGTTCCCTCTTAAAAGTAAAAACAGGCAGTTTTTTACTTCCTGCTTGAGTCATCTCACTTAGGATAATGACATCCAGTTCCATCCACATTACTGCAGAAGACATTATTTTTATGGATGTGTATTAGTCCATGATACATACACACACCATATTTTTAGTCCAGTCATGCACTGATGGACACAGGTTGATACCTTTGCTATTGTGAATAGAGCTGTGATAAACGTATGAGTACAGGTGTCTTTTTCATATAATTTCTTTTCCTTTGGGTAGATACCCCGTAATGGGATAGTCAAGTCAGATGGTAGTTCTTTGAGAAATCTCCAAACTACTTTCCATAGTGGCTGAACTAATTTACATTTCCACCAACAGTGTATAAGCGTTCCTTTTTCTTTGTATGTTCGCCAACATTTGTTGTTTTTTGACCTTTTACTAACAGCCATTCCAACTGGTATAAAGCAGTACCTCATTGTGGTTTTAATTTGCATTTATTTGATGATTAGTGATCTTGAACATTTTTTCATGTTTGTTTGCTGCTTGTATGTCATCTTTTGAAAAAACTGTTCATGTCCTTTGCCCACTTTTTAATGGGGTTGGTTTTTTTCTTGTTTTTTGAGTTCCTTGTAGATTCTGGATCTCAACCGTTTTTGGAGGCATAGTTTGCAAATATTTTTTCCCATTCTGTAGGTTGTCTATTCATGCTGTTGATTATTCCTAATTTTTTAGCAATCATTTTTAAAATGTAGTATGAGGATACTGACTTGACAAAAATTCAAGGTGGCAAAAATCTAGGTAGTTTATCAGCCCAATTTGAAATATGAAAAACATGTCAAGTTTTTTTAACAAGCAATCTTAGGTTGTATTGTCCCAAGAGCAACAAAAGTAATAATGATGTAATGCTTTGATTGATTATACCTGGATTAGTTGCTTCAGATTTGGTTAGCACATTTTCTGATGAGCCATAATAGGAAGTGAACCTTATGGGGAGGTGGGCATGGTGGCACGCGCCTGTAATCCCAGCTATACAAGAGGCTGAGGTGGGAGGATCACTTGAGCCCGTAAGTCCAAGGCTGCAGTGAGCTGTGATGGTGCTACCACACTCCAGCCTGGGCAACAGAGTGAGACCCTATCTGTTAAAGGAAGAAAGAAAAAAAAAAGAAACCCTATGGTGATGAGGATTGATTGCAAATTGGGGAAGGGAAGAGGGAATGGCAGCTAACAGATGGTGTTTGCTGTGTTCACTATCTGATAGACTGCCATGTGGAAAAGAGTGTGAGGTCTGGTCTGTACTGCTCAGCAAAGGACCCTAACTGTAGCCCTTCAGCTGAAGTCAGGTTTAGTCTTGTAGTGAAGACCTTATTATAATAATATGTACCCAGTAGTGGAAAAGATTACCTCACAGTCTGAAATAAGACATTGGCATTTGGCGTTAGGTAAAATATATGATTTCTAAGTTGTCTTTCAACCTAAGGATTCAGTGGATGTTTATGGGTGATGACTATCACAGCTTAATGATGTTTGTGTGATTAATAATATTTTATTGAGCACTTACTGTGTGGCAAGTACCATGCTAAGCAATTGAAATATATTATTTAATTCTCACAACCCTGTGAAGTAGATGCCATTTATGTCTCTATTATACAGATTAGAAAAATGAGACTTAGGGCATGGAGGCTCATGCCTTTAATCCTAGCAGGATCACTTGAGGCTGGGAGTTCAATACTAGCCTGAGCAACATAGAGAGACCCAGTCTCTTTAAAAAAAAAAAAAAAAAGAAGAAGAAAAGAAAAAAAACTAAAAGAGGTTAAATAAACCGCCTAAGGTTACTGTCAAGTGCCACTTATAGGGTTCAAGGCCACATAGGTTTAATTCTAGAGCTCATACCTTTAATCAGTATGCTATACTGAGTCCCTGGTTTACCTGCTTATTAGTGTAATGACAAATAGTAATGCATCAAGATAACACTTTGTTAAATCTGTCTTTGTGAGAAAATACAACATTTCTAGCTGATGTTCTAGTTGAAATGATATATGAGTGAGATCCTTACCTTTAGAAAGTGATAGTGCTCTTTAGAGTCAGTTAATGCAGTGAAATTCATCGCATTAGGGATTCTGGTGACCAGTTTCTCTTAAAAAAATCAAATGGCTTCCCCCCACCCCCCGCCCCCAGAGACAGAGTCTTACTCTGTCACCCAGGCTGGACATGATCTTGTCTCGCTGCAACCTCTACTTCCCAGGTTCAAGCAATTCCCATGCCTCAGCCTCCTAAGTAGCTGGATTACAGGCGTAGCACTACCATGCCTGGCTAATTTTTGTATTTTTAGTAGAGGCAGAGTTTCATCATGTGCTAATTTTTGTATTATTAGTAGAGACGGGGTTTCGCCATGTTGGCCAGGTTGGTCCAGAACTCCAGACCTCACGTGAGCCACCTGCTTCAGCCTCCCAAAATGCTGAGATTACAAAGGTGACCCACCATGCCTGGCCTCAAATGGCTTTTTTAAAGACTTAAATCATTTTGTGTACAAATGTGCAAAAAATTAAGTTATGTGTAACTCTGCAAAAAATATGGACTTTAATATTTGTTATTCTTTATTTAGAAAATGAATTGTGCAGATTTATACATTTTGTTTTATTTGATAAATCCATAAATCTATAGATGTAGCCTATATAAATCTCTAAGTGATATTTCTACTTTTGTGATTGTATATGGGCTAAATTTGAATATCTACCAATGGTTATTTGGAAATTTCGTTGAAATCTGCCATCTGTGGAAAGTTGTCAACTTTAACAGTGAATGTTTTTGTTTAATTCTAGGGGGAAATTTGCAGTGGTGAGGAAATGTATAAAGAAAGATTCTGGGATAGAATTTGCTGCAAAGTTCATGAGAAAAAGAAGAAAAGGCCAAGATTGTCGGATGGAAATAATTCATGAAATTGCTGTACTTGAACTAGCACAGGACAATCCTTGGGTCATTAATTTACATGAAGTTTATGAGACTGCATCAGAAATGATCTTAGTTCTGGAATAGTAAGTATTGTCTTTCTTTTTTTTTTTTTTTTTTTTTTTTTTTCTGAGACGGAGTCTCGCTCTGTCGCCCAAGCTGGAGTGCAGTGGCCTGATCTCAGCTCACTGCACACTGCAAGCTCCGCCGCCCGAGTTTACGCCATTCTCCTGCCTCAGCCTCCCGAGTAGCTGGGACTACAGGCACCTGCCACCTCGCCCGGCTAGTTTTTTTTGTATTTTTTTAGTAGAGACGGGGTTTCTCCGTGTTAGCCAGGATGGTCTTGATCTCCTGACCTCGTGATCCGCCCGTCTCGGCCTCCCAAAGTGCTGGGATTACAGGCTTGAGCCACCGCGCCCGGCCTGGAATAGTAAGTATTGTCTTTCTTAGATTAAGTTTGGTAGTCTACACTTCCTTTATGGGATACCACTCATCTGTGATAATGTTGCCAGGCCTGGTTCTCTGGAAATCTCAGAATTTTCTAGATCATTTTCAAGTGTTCCTCTTATTTATTTAACATGTTCCAAATTTGCAAGGATGCATGTATATTAGCTTTTTTATTTTCATACTTTAATGAAATTCTTCTCATAATAGGATAAAAGGTGATCTTACGATTTTATTAGAGGCACTCTTAACGAAGTAATACCAAACTAATATTAAAATAAAAGGCATTTTATAATCCTTACATGTTCTTATAGTCTGAGTTAATCTCCTTTCTTTTAGAAACAGTAGTCTTGATTCTTACTATGTTTTCAATTTAAGTAGGTAGATACAGCACAGAAAACAGCTTTGAAAAACGAAGGACTGTTCTTTCTCCTTAAGAAATCGTGGTTTCAGGCCAGGCACGGTGGCTCATGCCTGTAATCCCAGCACTTTGGGAGGCCGAGGCAGGAGGATCACCTGAGGTCAAGAGTTCAAGACCAGTCTGGCCAACATGGTGAAACCCAGTCTCTACTACAAATACGAAAAAATTAGCCTGGCGTGGTGGCATGTGCCTGTAATCCCAGCTACTCAGGAGGCTGAGGCAGGGGAATTGCTTGGACCAGAGAGATGGAGGTTGCAGTGAGCTGAGAGTGCGCCACTGCACTCCAACCTGGGTGACAAAGCGTGAGACTCCATCTCATAAAATAAAAGGACTTAATACTCATGCCTATAATCCCAGCACTTTGGGAGGCCAAGGCAGGAAGGATTACTTGAGCCCAGGAGTTTGAGACCAGCCTGAGCAACATAACAAGACCCTGTCTCTTTTAAAAAATAATTAATTTAAAAAAGAAAACAAAAAAGACTTAATACATCAGTAAATCCGAACAAAATGAGAAGACAAACTCGGAAAAATACCTCTAATATTCATCTAGCAAAAGCAGTTAAAGTTGCTTGAATATATAACCAGGTCTTACAAATACCCACAAACACATGAACCTCCCAGTTTGAAAAGGGCTTGGCCCATAATCCCAAAAGATGCAATCCTAAATGTTGAAATTCCAAAAAATCAAAAACCCTAAGGTCTAAAATCTCAAAAATCACAATCCCAAAAGATCAAAATCCTGAAAATATAATTATGGAAAAAATAATCCTAAAAAATTCTCTAAAAGACATTTATTTGGTCAGGTGCTGCAACCTCCGCCTCATGGGTTGAAGCGATTCTCATGCCTCAGCCCCCACAGGTAGCAGGGATTACAGGCGTCCATCTCCACGCCTGGCTAATCTTTTGTATTTTTTGTTAGAGATGGGGTTTCACCGTGTTGATCAGGCTGGTCTCAAACTCCTGACCTCAGATGATCCACCCGTCTCAGCCTCCCAAAGTGCTGGGATTATAGTCGTGAGCCCAGTCAAATCTCAGCACTTTGGGCAGCCGAAGTGGGAGGATTTCTTGAGCCCAGGAGTTGGAGACCACCCTGGGCAACATAGCGAAACCCTGTCTCTATAAAAAATACAAAAATTAACTGGGTGTGGTGGTGCACTCCTGTAATCCCAGCTACTTGGGAGGCGGAGGTGGTAGGATCACCTGAGCCCAAGAGGTCAACGCTATAGTGAGTTAAGATGGTGCCACTGCACTCCAGCCTGAGTAACAGAGTGAGACCCTGTCTCAAAAAACAAAAAAAATTTTATTTACATTTTAAAAGGGGATTGATTTAGGAAACATAAAAATAACTATGTATACCATAAATTGTCCAATTATGTTAATTAAAAATAAAATGTTAATACATGACATTTCATGGCCACTTTATTTACATGCTAAAACAGGCAGTAATAACATACGTTTTTACAGACATAACACTCAGATATACTAACAGTCACACAAATGTAACAGTTATGAGCCAGATAAACCATATTTATAAAGGAAGTAGTTCAGCTGGGCGCAGTGGCTCACGCCCCAGCACTTTGGGAGGCCAAGGCAGGTGGATCACGAGGTCAGGAGATCGAGACTTTCCTGGCTAATACGGTGAAACGCTGTCTCTACTAAATATTCAAAAAATTAGCTGGATGTGGTGGAGGGCGCCTATAGTCCCAGCTACTCGGGAGGCTGAGGCAGGAGAATGGCGTGAACCTGGGAGGTGAAGCTTGCAGTGAGCAGAGATCGTGCCACTGCACTCCAGCCTGGGTGACAGAGTGAGACTCCATCTCAAAAAAAAAAAAAAAAAAATTCTAAAAGTGAAATATATAAACGTATATCTCCATAGTTGATAATTCTGTACACTTAAATTGATAATTGTGGTCATCTGAAATACCATGACAAGCAACCTAAGTCTTTTGACAAAATTGATTGAAAATCTCAATGTGTCATCACCATATATGCAGTTGCCCAAAGAGCCAAGATCTCAAGAAATTTTTTTCACAAATGCAGATGTACAAAAAGGACATATCTTCATTTATTAATAAAGTTTCAATGTTTTTGTTGTTCTTTTTTGTTTTTTTTTGTTGTTGTTGAGACAGAGTCTCCCTCTGTCACCCAGGCTGGAGTGCAGTGGCATGATCTTGGCTCACTGCAACCTCCACCTCCCAGTTCAAGCAATTCTCCTGTGTCAGCCTCCTGAGTAACTGGGATTACAGGTGCACACTACCGTGCCTGGCTAGTTTTTTGGTAATTTTAGTAGAGACAGGGTGTCACCATGTTGGCCAGGCTGGTCTCAAACTCCTGACCTCAGGTGATCCACCTGCCTTGGCCTCCCAATGCTGGGATTACAGGCATCAGCCACCAGGCCTGGCCTCAGTGCTTTTACATACACAAAATCAACATTGTGATAATATATTTTGATGGAGTCAAATTTGCAAAATATTCATAAAATGAATTAACTCTCCTCAAAATTTCATACAGTTCATACCTCCAGTATTGAAAATTATGCGAAGATGAAATGCATAGCATAGTGAATTGGTGCTATATGTGAAGGGGCAGATGTTGTACATGATTGAATAATTTGGCAGGGGAGAGTTCTTTTTTACCTGCGTTTTCATTTCTATAATCTTTGAAACACCTGCTGCACTTGTATTTGGACAGTGGTTGTGATCTACAAATTTTGTAAGTATGTGTTGTCCACCGGAAAACCTGGTTATTGCTCAGCCATTGCAATTCAATTATTTTCTGCTTTCAAAGCACCGATAATAATTAGCTTTTAAACCATTAGGTATCATTGTATGCTTAACTTAATCACACCCTTTTTTGAAGGAACAATTTCACAGATCTCTTCCATTGTATTGTAAGGAATACAGTGAGAAGGAATAATATTGGACTTCCCCAGGACCAAATCTCTATTATTTAATAGTTAATCTTCTCCAGAGAGACAGAACCAATAGGATATGTGAATAAATACGAGAAGGAACTTATTAGGAAACTGGCTCATGTGCTTATGGTGACTGAGAAGTTTCACAACAGGCCTGCAAGCTGGACACCTTGGGATGCTGGTAACATGGCTTAGTCCAATTGCAAAGGCCTCAGAACCAGGGAAACCAATCATTGCCTTTCAATCCAGGCCAAAAGCCTCAGAACGCCAGGGAGTGGGAGTGTAGGGAGCAGGGGTGGTCAGGTGTAAATCCTGACATTTGAAGGCTGGAGTTCTGATGTCCACGGCAGCAAGAGAAAAATTGGTCCCAGCTCTCAGAGAGAGACCAGCTTGTTTTCTATATTTCTTCTCTCTAATTAGATGGTGCCTGCCAACATTGAAGACATATCTTTCCTACCTAGTCCACTCGGACTCACACGCTAATCTCTGGAAACACCCTCACAGACACACCTGAAATAATATCCCGGATTTCTAGGTATTCCTTAATCCAATCAAGTCAACAACTGAAATTAAGACCATAAATCCACCCCTTATCAGTTTGGCATCCATAATGCATCTCCTTTAAACTGTACTTAATTTCCAAATAAAGACAGCAACAAGGTAATAGTTCCACCTAACAGGATGCACCTACCGTGATGCACCTAGCCTCATACAACCAAAAATACAGTGGAAGTCCCTTCCCTAAATCCCCTCCCTCCCTAGAATTCAGTTTTCACTATTTCAACAGTCGAAATTTTAATTGTTCAAGATTGTGATTTGGGGATTTTAGACTTTAAGGACTTTTTTATCTTTCAGGATTTTGATCTTTTGGGATTTTGACATTCTGGATCATGGCATCTGAGATTGTGTCTTTCAGGATTATGATCAGCTCTGGTTTTAAAAAAATGAACAAATGATATGAAATTTTCACACACGCAAATGTAAATTACCTATATACACATGAAAATATTTTTATTTTTATAATGTAAATTTTAAAATAGGTTGTGAATTTCCACCTATCAGACTGGCAATGATTATAAACAAAAGTGATATTCATTAATTGAGTCATTTTAGTATAACTTTTCTGGGGTACAGTCTGAAGTATGTATCAAAAGCCTTAAAAAATATGTTTTAACCCAGCAATTTTACTTAAAGTTTTTTTTAATAGTACATAATGGGGTCTCACTATGCTGACCAGGCTTATCTCAAACTCCTGGCCTCAAGCAATCCTCCTGCCTCAGCCTCCCAAAATGCTGGTATTATAAGCA